TTAAAGCTACTAGTCTCAGAAAAGGATTTGAAAATAACCTCTCCAGTTGCCCAGTTCTGTGCTAACATTTGTACAATATGCCATGCCATTACTTAGGATTGGAACTTCTTATACAAGTATTTATTTGGATTTATTTCAGTAACTTTGTTCTTAATTATTTTTAGACTCCATTATACTTGTTCTTCTCTTATACACATATACATATACTGAATATAGAAGGATTTAATACTTCTTGTATTCAATATTTAGTTTGTATCAGACTTTAGGCTGTAAAATCTAAATATGAATTGTGAAGGACACACTCCAAAAGTATATTGAGTCAGGACACCCATGGAGAAGGCATTGCAGGAGTAAATGGGTGGAGGATGCCTAGCATAAGCTCAGACCCACCTGCCCTGGCCCTTCCAAGGGTCTCCCCCCCCCCGAGACTCCCCATATTCCACTTCTCACCCCTTCCATCCCCACAGGTCTTTTGACATTCCCACGGGGTCCCCCCAGGCCTTAGGACTGATGCCCACCCCATCAGGCAAAACACCCTCCTCCTCACTTACCTTTTTTTAAATATTTTTTTTATTTTTTATTTTCAAAACAAACATAACACAAAGAATCCTCCCTTTTTACATACTGTAGAAAGTGTATCAGTTGGTTACAAAAAACTTTGTGCATCTCTTCCACAGTCATCAATCATAATTCATATTAACTCAAATATTTTAACTCAGATATTTACACATATTACCATCATCATACCTCCATTTTCATTTGAGTACAATTGTTTAAATGTCCTTCATCATAAAATATATCAAAATTTAAAACATAACCACATACTGGCATTTCATTTGCTATTTCTAAAATCCTCCAATAACACTAAATCCTTATGGTCTATTTTAGCTAAACACCCATAATATCTAGTAACAAAAATTTCTAATCCTCCTTACCAAATCACTGTTTGCAATTTACATCCAGTTTCCTTATGTTGAACCCATACATATATTTTTTTCTTTGTATCATTATCCCTCCTTTATTTAACTGTATCCTGTATCATAACATTTTCCCCCGATAATCAAAATTTAACTAAATTTAACTTAGTTCTTTTTTATTAGCCTTTATATATAACTAAAAAGATTTCTAATCATCCTTTCATGGGTACCATTCAAATATTCATATCCAATTATTACTTAACATAACAATACATACACACACACACACACACATATATTCATTATCAATTATTTATTTGACTATATCTATTGTCACTAAATTTCACTAAGTTTAACTATTTTTAAATTATGCACTTCCATTTATCAACCTGTATCTTTCTAGATCCGAGGGTCATTAGTTCCTCGTAGGATCCCTGCTCCAGAGCTTGTCGGGTGTGAGTCCTTGTTGGTGAAGTTGGACCTTGAG